TCATGAAATTTAATTAAGTTAATTTTAGACTTTCAAAATTTCACATGTTAATGTTTATGATTCCTTTATTTTGCTTTAGTTTTTCAATATTGTTTATATTTATAGCATGATATTAGAAATGTTAAAGTTGTTAAACAAAATTGAAGGCATAAGTGATACAAAATTTATTACCCGAAAAACATTGAAGAGCATATAATTTTATGAATAATTTTAGTCTCCTTAATGTATATAAGCATTACAACCCGCAGGTCAATAGCAAATATGCTCCAAGTTTGATGTAGACACACAAGAAGAAAACCGACACAATTGGTAGAACTTAAACCAAACTTTATTAAAATAAAAGCAGACAACTAAAACTTCAAAAAACAATAAGGAACACTAAGAGATTTTAAGGAAATAAAGAAAATTAAAAGACGCTATCCTCAGACAACCGTCTGAGCGGATTCCTCACATGCATCGAATTGTAAATTAAATAAGAAAAGTGCATAGAACTAGCAAGCTGATGGTCCACCACTGCAAGATTATCCAAACTCCTTAACAGTTGCTTCAAATCAACCAATATACGACACCCTAAAGTTGCTTTACTTTGAGAAGAAGGATACAGGTGGAGTGACACTTGCGGAGAGACGAAAGAGGTTAGAAGCCAAGAAGAAGGGTGGAAAGAGCCCGCATGATTTTCGGAGGGGATGAGAAAGAAGGATGGAACAAGCTCGCAAGCTTTTCCAACAACCCGCGGGTCAATAGCAAATATGCTCAAATAATTTCTTGCACCCACCAATTTGGTATCAGAGCAAGTTAGGAAGTCCTAGGTTTGTGAGTTTGTCAAGTTTTGTTTTAAAGTTTTGATTTTGTTTGCCAAGTTGTGAGTCTTGTAAGTCTTGTCGAGAATTTTGTGAGTCTTATAAGTCTTGTCGTGAGTCATATTGTGAGTTTAAGTTTAGGTTGAGTCTTTTTTTTAGTCTTGTTTGAGTCATCAAAAAAATGAAAAAAGACAAAAAGACAGAAGAAAGCAAACCTGAAGAAATTGAAGATTCTATGGATAGGTGGATTCCATCAAAGTCAACACATCCTCTGGAATATGAACTGTACAAGCTTCAATCATGGATGCACATACATACAGAAAGGTACTTCAAGAAAAAGCAGCGTTTACAAGATCGATTTTTGAAAGAACGAGATGAGATCATGCAGAAGTATGAAGATTTGATCAATGAATTGGATGCACCGTCTTCACCTCCTCGAAAAAAACCAAAGCTAACTCATCGGGAGATGAGTTCTTCAAGAAGGGGAGAATCTGATGTAGACAAAGGGGGGGTCAACTCATGTCCAAAATAAATCAATTTTGGCCCCTCCCGAGTCTTCAAGCTCAAAGAATTTTGAGCTGGAATTTAGCTCATTTATGAGCTGATTTTTAGTTCATTTATTGGACAGAGGTTAGCTCATTATTAGCTAAGTTTTAGTTCATATTTATCTTTTATTTAATGCACTTTTATTATAGTTTTTAATGTTTTAAGTTATGGTGTCTCTTGGGTTCCAAAAAGGCTTTTGGAATTCCAAGATTGATGTTTTATTTTCCCATGTGTGGCTCCTTGAATTCCACCATGGCTTTTAGTGTCTTTGCCCCCTTGGATTCCGGTCGGCTGCTGGTTTTCCGTGCCTGGGCTCTTTCCCGTGACCGTAACTCCTTGGTTCCGGGCGGTTTCCTTGGTTCCCGTGGTTGCCACTTCGGTTCCTTGGCTTGGGTTGTGTTTTTCCATGAAAAGCAATTAGGTGTTTTAATGCTATGTGATGTTTAGAATTCCTATGAAAATTAATGTTATGTGTCTTTTAATATTCCCTTTCATACCTATATATATGGGGGACTTGTAATGTTTGAAAGTGAGTGAATGTTATGTGATTTTTGGAATGTAACCTGCGGGTTATTGGAAAAGCTTGCGAGCTTTGTCCGTCTTCTTTCTCATCCCCTCCGAAAATCCTGCGGGCTCTTTCCATCCTTCTTCTTGGCTTCTAATCTCTTCGTCTCTCCGCAAGTGCCACTCCACCTGTATCTTTCTTCCAAGTGCAGCAACTTTAGGGTGACTTTTAATTGCGAAGTTTGTTAAATCATCATTTGTAGTCTTTTAATTTCTTCTTCTTACTTTTATTTAAAATGTAAGAATTTGTTCTAAAATTTCTAAGTAATCTCTTCTTTTTGTCAAGTTTAGGGATCTTCTTTTGTGACCAAAAAATATAGGGTCCCCTATATTTTTTGGTCGCATCACATGTGCATGATGACCCGGAGTACCAAATGGTAATGGGGTTCTACGGAGCCAAATGATAAAGAGATTCTACGGAGCCAAATGATAATAGGGTTCTTCATAGCCAAATGATAAAGGAATGGTCAATGACTGTGTACCTGATCATTACAAAACTCTGGTACTTCTGGGACGGGTGCTTATTATATATTATGATTATGTAATTTATGCATTCAATGGAATGATTTAAAGAAAGAAAAGTTTATGAAAAAGAAAGAAAAAAATTAAGGGAAAATGTTTCAAAAAATAATTATGGAAATATCTTATAATTTATGCCTACAAATATTTATTATGATATTTTATTGTTTCAATTTCTGCTTAATGCATGTTTAAAAATAGTTAATGAATTTAAGAAAAATGTTTATCACCTGCTAAGCATTAGTTTATCCTACTATTGGAAATGTTTTTTGAGAGATAGTGTTAAGAAGTGAATGCAACAAAACGACAGTACACCTATCGTCGTAAAGGACCTTAGGAAGAAAGGTTTTATATTTTCTGTTATGTGTATGAGTCAGTGGTTTATAATGAGGAGTTTATTAGAGTTTATGTTTATATTCATGTATATATTTTTCATGGTTGTGTTTTGAAGATATTATTGGAAAACTTTATGTTGATGATTTAGTGACTCTTTCATAAGTTGTTTGTATGACATTTAAGTTTATACCTTTTATGATATGAATTGTTATATTTTAATTATTTTATGTGTTTTTTCGTAAACCTGTCTGTTCCCGTCCCGTTAATTCGGGCTAGCCGGGCCAGGTCGTGACAAGAGTGATATCAGAGCGAAGGGTTTAATACTAATCAATGAAAGAGCCTATAGAAAAATTATATGATTCCTAGAATGTATAGGAAGCGTGAATTTTATGAATTTTCGCCTTATGATTATTATGTTTCATCTCAGGAATATGGATCTTAAGCAGAATGTCATTGATGGCATTGATGGTTAGGATGGCATTGATGGCATTGATGGTTAGGAAGGGAGGGAGCTACCAGTAGTAGCATAACCTTAGATGAATAATGATAGTACCACTATGGAGTTATTTGCTCAGATGATGCCAACAATGACTCAGATGATAAAGAACTCTAAAACTCAGGCCAGTGACAATGAAAATAGTTCTATGGATAAGAACATGAAGCTTTTTCAAGATATGAAGCCTCTGTTATTTTCAAGTGGACCTATAAAGACTGAAGATTGGCTGATGCGAATAGAGAAGATTTTGGAGGGCATGTTTTGCCCGGAAGATAGGAGGGTGACACTCGCTACTTATGCCTTTGATGGTGAGGCAGAAAGGTGGTGACAGAGTCAGTTGCAAGAGACTTTTGGAGGGCGATCTAGCAGTCAAGTCTCCTGGGAAGAGTTCATGAAAGTATATAGAGACTGGTTTGTACCTATGTCAGTCAAGAGACAAATGCATGATAAGTTCAACATATTAGTTCAAGGAGATCAATCTATTTCTCAGTATAAGACAGAGTTCACAATGTTGTCCAGGTTTACCCCTCACTTGATACCTAATGCTGAAGACAAGTGACACCGCTTCCTAACTGGACTGAATGACATAATAAGGCAGCCTCTCATACCTTTTGGAATTGAAGATTATTCTACTTTGGTGGAAAGAGCCAGAACGATCGAGATGGACTTACAGGCAACTCAAAAGAGGAGGGACTTTCAGAAAAGGAAGATTAAGGGCAGGTCAAAACCCTCTCAGTTTGCTCAGTCTTCTTAGATTGAGGGCTGGACAAATAAAATTCTGAAGCACTGGTGTCAGAATTGCTGGATCTAGGCTTTTTCTATGTAGACACCCCAGACTGAGAAGACTGAGCAAATTGAGAGGGCTTTGGCCTAACCTCAATCTTCCTTTTCTTTGAAAATAATGCATCTTAAATAAAAAAATTTGAAGTATTTCATCTATATTTGAATTTGTTGTAAGAGCACAGATCCATCATAAATTTTTATTTATCTATGATTTAAATAACCACAAGTCATTGGAGCAAAGAACAATTACTAAAGTTATTTTTTTTTTTGGCTATTTTAAACCTAAATCATTTAAATTTGTTGATGGATGATGAAAGAAGTGTGAGATTAAGTGACTCTATCATTCAATATATATATATAGAGAGAGACAGAGAGAGAGAGAGAATAATCAAAATGGTCCTTTAACTCTTTAGAAAGGACCACAATGATCCTCAATTATATTAAATGATCATTTTGGTACCTCAACTCTTTAAAGCGGCATCAAAATAGTCCCTTTAATATAGTTAGGGACCAATTTGATCTTCAATAAAGAGTAAAGGGATCATTTCGGTCCTTTAATATAGTTGATGATCATTTTGGTCCTTCATAAAAAATTAAGGGACCATTTTGATTCTTTTTCCTATCTATCCATCTTCAATTTAAAGAAGTTAAGAGTAAAAAGAATAGAAAAAAAAATCTATCTATCTATCTATAAATCATGTGATTACATCATAGAACAACTCTTTTCTATAAAACATTAGGCAAAAGAAAGAAAATAGTTTTCAGACAAGACCCGACTCAAGAAGAATAGAAGTGCAAGTTTATGTCCGTCATAGAAATGAGCCAAATATGAAACATGATAGAGGTAACAAGTTTCTGGGAACAATCAAATGATGAGACAATTTAAAATGACCAACCAGAAATGAATGAGTGTTTTCATAAACAACAAAAATTATCTTGAAATACCAGATGCTTACCTGATGACGAAATACAAGATATGCCAGTCCAAAAAATATTAATATGTAGGGAAGCAAGAACGGTGTAACCACAGCATAGGCGAGACCAAGAAGGAAATACAACTGTAGCTGTGGTTCAGATGATCCAAAATCAAAACTACCAGGCTCCATTGCTTCTTCTCTGTCTTTTTCAGTCTTTACAAGAAAAAAGTTTCTCAAATGATAGATTATCAAAGGTTTTAATCTTAATATCTCCCCAGCAACTCCAGCCCAGCCATCAACCATGACAAAAGTTATGAAAAATGACGCTTTCATTGGAATTGCTACGCCTATGATCCTTGGAAAGCTGTAGTGTGAAATCAAGAATCAAAATGTTAGGTAGCCATACATAAACAAGGAAAAAAACAATAGTAGTACGCATACCATAGCAACATTAAAGAATCGCAAAATTTTCAGCAATTGCTTGTTTAAGAATTAAAATATTAGAAAAATCAATACTCCAAGCTTTAATCATAGTTGCAAATATATTTCTTTACCATGGGAATGGTGCTTAGATTTATTAGGATCGATTGAAGAAATGCAATTAACATACAAAAGATATGAAGTTGCAGCTGCAATTTCTAAGTATCAAAGCTTTCACCTAAATGCACTCCTACTTCCAAATATTAGAACTTCATAGAGATCATAAACACATTGAGAAATTGGGGAACTTTTAGGACTAGAGACCAAAAAGCAAAAATATATGTTTTTTTTTTCTCATTAAGAATGTCTAATCAAAACATTAATTAAAAATGTCAAAGAAAAGCATTCTTCATCATCATTAGCCTTATCTCAACTATTTGGGGTTGGTAACATAGATAAAAACATTAATAGGCATAAACCAAAAAAAAAAAACATAAATCGGGGCTTCAAATACACTTTTTATTGTAGAAAACTGAAAGCATATTCCAGTGCAATTGCTGAAGTCAGTTCAAGCTTTGAAGATAAGACAGGCATGCACATGATTAATTACTGACCGAATTGCTTTTAAAATGAACTATATACCAATAATTTAGATGGAAGACTGAAAATAAAAACAGTTTGAGACTATAGAAATCCCTCCCTCTCCCTCTCTCTCTCTCTCTCTCTCTCTCTCTCTATATATATATATATATATATATATATATATATTGCAAGTAGATAAAAACAGTTTGAGCAGAAAGAAAAGATATTTTTTGGTAGTCATTCTAGTGTGTTCTATTGTTAGGTAGGAAGGAGGCAAGAGATCATACTCATTAACCGACTGGTGAATGAAAGTGTTGAGTTGCTGAAAAGCAGTTCCAGTAATTATGTTTCCCAGGAAAACATTTACAAGTAAAAAGAGATAATATTTTGATGCTGATTTTCGCTCAAGAATTGATAACGCCACAAATCCTTCAAACTTGGACATGAGCATCAATATTGTTGGCAGTAGGATAAGAAAAATCTTTAGTGCAATACCAGGAAGAAAGCCTTGGATAAATGACTTAATTAATTTCCTGCAAAATAAAAGATGCAAACAAAAATTATAAGATTCTAAATGGCAAGGCACCGTAAGGATCTATGCCTTACTGAAGGATCAATATAAAAGTATATCTCCAGGACAAAAAAAAAAAAGAATTCTGGTCATCAGAAATGAATTGAATTAGCTCTAAATAATTATTCTACGCTAGGAATTTTATTTCAACCAAAAAGGTAGAGATGATATAAGGGTAAGAACACTTGCACCCAAACAATAGAAACCTCATCCTAAGTTATAAAGGTGTTTTTTAGCTTGATACTAGAACTCAAGAGACAATTAATATTACAGAGTAAAACAAAGGGAGCCAAAGTTGATGTAGATGTTCTAACTATCAAACTCATTTTAGAGAGTGAACTAAAGAGGAATCAAAATTGGACTATATACACCTATGAAAAAGCATATTTTAATCCAAAATACTTGAGCTTTGAGGGTCAATCACTTAATATTTCAACAACAATATATTTGATATTTCTACATCAATAGATTTGTTAACCACTTCATGCAAAACTAAACTCACTCTAATATGCCTTTAACAATTAAAAGGAGAATATTATAGGATTAAACATATAAAAAATAAACATAGAAGCCCTTTCACATTTATTGGAAATACGTAATGTTCCATGAGGATCTTCAAAACTTTAGGCCAATTCCATCATCTGCAATGGCTAGAATACGAGCAATATGCTCAGGTTTGCCACTCTATTTGGCTATTAGGCATTTATGATCAGAAACATCACATGGTGTAGGAGAAAATTTGTCATCGGAAATTTGATCAAGTACGGCATAGAAAATAATATATAATCTCGAAGGACGAAAATATTATTTCGCTATTGACTCAACAATAAAATTCATAATTTTATATTTCAACAGAGATTTTCCCCTATTTAATATTTGGTTGAATATGATTTATTTTATTATGAAGTATGGATACCTACATATGCCTATAAGGGCAAACCCCTATAATTAATTACATCTCAAATATTTCTTACATGAGAATATTTTTTATTAAACTAATGATTTCTTTAAAATCATCAAAACATTGATTAATATTTTCAATTTTAAGTTTGAGATACATGTTCAAAGATTTGGTCTTTGAGAATTTTAAAGGTGGTGTAATCAACTTTATATCATATTTTAAGAATGGAAGTCAAAGAAGGAAAATGTAGTACTTGATTCTGAGAAAACTCAAAGATACTCAAACTATCCTACTATCCTATCCTTGGCTTTATATTTTAAAATTAGACTTTCATTTGAGTTGAATAATTTAATTTTAGAAAGTTGGGATTTATATTCCAGCAACACGGGTTAGAAAGTCAGAAAGGTGATAGCTTATGACATGATTGGAGCCAATAATAGCCTCGGATCCTAGAGCTAAGGTGTCCTACATCTAACGGTTTGCAAGATACTTACAACCTTATACCTCATATAAGGCATTAGTCCCCTGACCTCTAGATTTACAACTCTGCCTGAAAAGGACTACCAGCTAAACTCAGCTAAATGCTTTTAAAATCATAAGGTCTAGTCTTCATGCATATAAAGATTAGGGTGAATGTTTTGATTTAGAAGATAGGACTTATAACTTCACTTTTAAATTAAGAAGCCTAATCACGTGAGTATGCATATGCTGACTCAATGAATGCAGATTTTTTATTATCTAATCCTTAAGTGAGGCATTTCTATATGAGGCACATTGGTCATGCTTGATCATTTCTTTTTTTTTTTTTTTTCATTTGAAAGTGTAGCTTATTTGAGTAAGCCATGCAATTTTTGTCAAAAAAGGCATATCATATAATTGACTTTTTTATTTAGATTTTTTTTAATCAGTAGAAATCTTAGCTATCTTAAGAGTACCGCACAACACATATCCAGGCCACCCCCAAATGAAAGCAAGTGACAAACCTTTAAAAAAAAAAAGCAAACATTTCTAATGCCCATTCAGTAAACAAATAAACATGTGTATTATGTATAAATAAATCAACCAACAGGAAAGTAAAAAAATAACATTCAAATTATTATAATTATCGAAAAGCTATAATATTAATAGATAGATGCATTTATACTTAGCAAAATCATAGTTGAATTATGTTGAATATCAAATTAATAAAGATTGGCTGGTTTATTATATGATTTCTATATTATCATGTGGGCAAAAAAAACCCAACTATGAAACTTGTATTGTATGTGGGGCAAAAAGAACCCATAAAATATGGTACCTGTATAGCAGGTGGGGCAAAAGAGACTCTTAATGAGACAAAAGGGACCTCTATGTAATTCAATGACGATAATGTCAGTTTTACCTTGGCTCTATTAAATATATTTATAAAAGTATGCCGATATTTTAAAAGTCTAAAGTTGATATTCAGTATAGTCTACAATGAAAGAAGAAGATTAATACTAATTGCATTGTATGAGATTTTCTTGTCATGATTTAACTGATGATTTAACTCATGTAATTTATAATGCAATGTAATTGTTATTTAATGTGTATATCTTATTGAGCATCATAGTTCACCAGTTATTCCATACTGATTGTTATTACAGGTAAAGAAAAGGATAAAGTCATTCTGATTAGGTTGAAAGTTCTTTTGTGTTATCTTTTTGTATTTAAAGTGTTTGTGTCTACATTTAAGGTATGTCGACAATTCTGTAATGTATTACTTTGAATTTTATTTTGGATTTCTTAGTGGTTCTGTAAGTATGTCTTTTTGAAGTTTAAATTTATTAGGTGCTTTCGTTGATGTGATGAATGAAAACTGTTTGATCTTTTATAAAAATTTTCAAATGTTCAAAACTATTATATGATTGATTGTTGAGAAAGTTATGTTTATGTTAGTAATACTCTCAGAACTGTTAAGGGGTATTGTGGGGTGTTATAACATTTAAGTGGTAGGAGAATTATACACTAATAAAAAAGGGAAAAAATGACATTCACAAAACGTGTTTGCATTAGCCTGACATCAAAACTCATGATACAATTACTAGGAGAATGATATGGAATTCAAATATAGGAATGGACAAAGAACTCATATTCACATGATATTCATTGCATGCATTGTTCCAACAAGATCTTTAAATTTTTGGTCCAACTCCATTAGCCACTAAAAAAAATCAATTTAGTCAACTTTATCATTCAAAATTGGTTATGAAATTTGGGAGAGTCAATGCACATGAGCAACTTAGGGCTCAAAAGGAGGTGCAAGCAGGTAGCATTCAGTAAGTGGTGGTGTCTTCTTTAGAGAGAGTAGGTGCACAATTGCCACAACAAAGGCAAATGATAGGATGGTAAGTGCAAGAAGGCGACCACTAGTGCAAAGCATGGTTTAAAATTGCACAATAAGAGGCGCGCCTCAGCACAATTTCAGATTTTTAAGCTTCAAAGCCTACACAATGAGAGCTGGCATTGAGGCGTACTCCTCATGTTCACTGAGGCGCGCCTCGCCTCATGTTTTAGAGGCATCCGCCTCTTAAAATTAAAAAAAAAAAAGACCTAACCTAATAAGATTCCACAATTGATCTGTATGCTCGGTACTGCTTGGAATAGCTCAGTATCACTAGGTACATGCTCGGTACTGCTCGGTACCACTCAGTACAACAATGCTTGGTACCACTAGGTACATGCTCGGTACTGCGAGGTATATGTTCCGTACCGCTCGGTATCTTTCCATACAAACGACTTACAAACTTTAAAAATAAGCAAAACTTCAAAATTACTCTTACAATAAAAATTTGTTCCAGGTCGAACCCCGCCAGGAAGCAACACCCCCTTGGACCCCCGGCTGCCCGACATATTGTTGTATTCATTGCTATTTATTTTTTGAATTATATATTAATGAAAAGAATATTGTGATTTGGGAAAGATAAAATTTGAGTTGAACTATATTTTGTATTGTCTTATTATTGAGATATTTTGATTTCACTTCATAACTTGTGCATTTTTATGTTTTATATTTTTTGCTCATTAGTATATAAAAATTTTATCATTTTGTGTTTACGCAATCTTTTGATTTTGAGGCTCACGCCTTGAGGCTTACACCTCGCCTCACAAACGAAAAACGTCTCAATACCCGATTACGCAATTTTAAACATCGATGCAAGGGAGAGTTAAGCATAATAGTTGAGCGAAGCAATAAGGGCAATTTGTGAGCAAGCGATTGAATGCAACAATCAAACACAATAAATGACCGAAGAAGCATGGGACAAGTAAGAATAGCAAGCATAGGATTTGAGAATGAAGCAGAAGGCAACTGCAAGCAAACACAAGCAAAAAGAGGTATGGGAAAGACCAATATCTAGGTTTGAGAATGATGTAAAAGGCAAGATTGTGAAAGTAGGGTTGAGTGAACTCACTAATATCATATCGAGAGGCGTTTGGAAATAGATTGATTATTTCATTATATTTCTAGTGCCCATATATATGGAAATACAAGAGGTGGAGTAAAAAAAAGGAGGATATCATTGATTAAGAAAATATATTATTGTAATAACCCAAAAAAGAATTTATTTAGTTAATATTAATTCATAATAAACAAATTTTCTAAGTAAACTTATTTAAATAAAAATTAATTACAACAACAATAACAACAAGCCTTTGTCCCACTACGTGAGGTCGGCTACATGAATCATTTTTCGTCATTGTGTCATGTTAAAAGTCAAATTTTCATTTAAATCTAATAAAGAAATATCATTTCTAATATTTTCTAACAATATATTTTTAGGTATATCTCTACCTTTTTTAACATAAGTCAAATCTAATACCTCAACTTTCCTAACAGGGTCATCAGAAGGCCTCCGTTTAATTTGACCAAACCATCTAAGGCGAATCTCTCTAATCTTATCTTCCACTAGAGCTACTCCAACCTTTTCACGTGAATGCTCATTTCGTAACCTATCTCTAAGGGTAAAGTCACTCATCCACCAAAGTATCCTCATCTCTGCAACACTTAACTTAGTATTATGCTTCTCTTTTAATGGCCAACA